ACTGGTCTGTAGTTTCCAGGATCCTCCCTCTTGCCCTCATTGTAGTTCACAGCTCATATATATGTATATACGTAGTTGCCACTCATTATAGTTCACATGTAGTCAATGAAGTGCTATTTAAAGAAGGGTGGACTGTTTATGCTCTAAGTGGTGCAAAGAAAGGTACATACTCTGAGGGTCTCACTACAGGCCAAAGCCCTCAGCAAAGCACAGTAACATGGAAACTGTTCCTGCCCTGAGAATATCACAAACCCCAATGTGCTTCTGGCAAGGACGGGAGGAAGGAACCACCTGACAAGTTTCAGGGGATAAGCAAAGCAATGGGTGCATCATGGGACACAGTTATGCCTCTTTGGGGATCAATGGGCTTTGTGTGTTTTTGGGTGGTAAATCTCCTGTTTTGTTTGCACACTGTCCAGAGAAGGTCTGGGCTTTCACTGTTTTCTAATACAGTGACACTATTTACTTCTCAGGGCACACATCTTCACACAGTATACACTGGGGTGCATTCCCATAGGCATCCCTCCTAACAACCCTAAAAACAACCTGGAGAGCAGATACCCAAAAAGGCATCTGAGCTGGGAGCAGCAACTCTTACCACAAGGACTGTGTGGTCCTTGCTCTTGCAGGCTGTGAGGGCCACAACTTAAGAGGTAAATCCTGCTTTTAGAGTGTGAAATGGTGACTTCTTTCTTGGCGGAGTAAGAGGCAGGACAAGAATCACAGAAGCATTTTCCTCAGATTAATAGTTTCTGCAGAAAGGCAAGGCTGCTGGTCTACTTATTGACTTCTCTGGCATTGCTGCAGCAGATAACTTAATTCAGTGCATCTAACATGCTTTGAATCTGAAAATTCCTTCCACCAAGAAAGAACACAGTGAAGTAAAAGCACAAAGGAACTTTCTATACTGCTACTCTTCTTAGTTACTGGAAAGGCTTTTTCTATGCTTTTCTGAATCATGTTTCCTGTTGCAAAAAGCATTGAATTAGATAATGTTACCGAAGACTACTCCTGCCACTATCATATACAACTCTACTTCACCAAGCAACAGAAAAGGAACAAAGAGGAGACTTTGTTTTTTTTCCCCCCCGATCTTAAATGTAGCCTTTAAAATGTAATCATTTACAGCGGGAAAACATTTCTCCACAAAGATGAAAGGCATTTCTGAAGGAGAAAGGAGCAAAACTGCTCCCGTCAGTCTGCCAAAGGGATATATGAAACTGAGATTCTGAAAAGTGCCGGGACAAGCCTAAAACCTACTCACAATGCTTGAAGGGCACAAACCCCAGATTTCATGAAGTTAAACCAGTCAATGGTTGTTAAAATGCCATGTGAACTAATTAGTTTCACTTCTCCAATTTTGAAAGTTACAGTGGAAAGAGATACAGAAGTACCACAGAGAGTTCTGTGGTCAAAAAGCAGCTGTACAAAAGAAGCAAGGACAGAAATGCCCATTTTTCTATTCCTTCTCCTACTGTTCAAATAACCAATATTATGCCTGATTCCTCCAAGTGAAGACTATCTGCTGTACTTGGGTGGAATAGCAAGAATAGGAATACTGCCTGTTATTTGTCAGTAGGAAGTACTGCTTTTTATGGAGCTTACTCCACAGTGGGGGTGGGGGAAGTAAATTTTCCCCCTCTTCCCAGAGGAAAGCAAAAAATAACAATGACATAGTCAAATAGTATCCTCTGCTCAGTTAACTGAGGCTATGAATGCAGGACAAGCCACAAGTAGTTCTCTGAATGCAGAATCAAAATTATGGATGCACAAGGAAACTGAAATGTATGCATACCTCCTCCACTCCTACAGAGCTTTTTTAGGTGTGACACACATATTTCATACAGCTAAATAGCACACTACCTTTGACCTGCAAGAACTACCATTTTTTGCTTATATTCATAATATCCTATGTGGCATTTTGGGATGTCAGTGAAAACAGAACTATTAGTTCTTGGAACAAAAGCTGGGGTCCATTTTTTGGCTCCTTTTAGAAATACATAAAACATACACAGCTAGCTTAATGTGTCTTCTGGAGAGCAGCAGGAGTTTTGTTCAGCTTTCTACTAGATAACTGTCAAAACATATTTCATAAAGCAAAGATAGAAGACCCAAGCAGTCAATGTATGCTGTCCTATGTCAGAGAAAAGACAATTTTGCTTTGACTCTTGAAATCAACTAAAAAGGGGGCTGTTACCTTTTTTGCACCTTGTTCTTCTTCGACACCATCCCCAATAACAACATACACTACTTTTCTTCCAAATCGTTGAATTATTCGCTCAAAACAACTTTCCTTTCCTGAAAGAAAAAGATCAGATGATTCAGGATAGGTGGTGATAGGATGACATAAAATAAATCACCTTTTATCCCCAGTGCTACAAGAAATAATGAGAACCTTTCTCACAGTATGGTGTATCAAGGCTGACTTTAGCTTTACTCCCATCACAGCAGCTGACAGGCAACCTTAAAATCTGCTCTGTGAGGTCCTTTTGTACACATGCCACAGTAGCCATAGCGTGCTAGAGGTCTGCGATATCATCTTTCTTGACTTCTCTAATCTGAGACAGGTTTTGGGGGGAATTTCCCTACCAGAAGAATTCTCTACCAGCCATCTATGGCCAGTATCCTGAACCGGGCAAATTGATTGAATCTGAGTTGAAATTCTAGCTTTTTCTCCACAACCTGTGACAAGATGAATCACAGCTCCTGAAACAGTAGTATCTTGACTTAGAAGGTCATCCAAAAGATTTAGATTTAAATGCCTGTGAGCCAATACACAGGCAAGGTCCTTGATCCTGCACTGGGATCCATTAACATGGCTCATTACTTCACTGATCAGACCTAAGGAAATGATCCCAGTGCTCCAGTCGTACACATAGGTACTGATACTGGGAGGCCTTGGTTACTGGTATTGGGAAGCCAGAAAGAAAGTAAATGCTTGCAGATGAGTTTTCTCAAATGTCCTCACTCTGAAAGATCACTTCAGTTTGGCCATGGAACCTGCTTACCTGTGTGTCTACAGCAAGCAACAGGAAAGATCGTGTTTGTCAAAATAGTTATTTCAGCGACAGAACTATACCAGCATAAGAACAAATAGGTTGGAAATTAGAAAAGGGTTTCTAGCCATCAGGAAAGTCAGATGACTCAGTGACACCCTGTAACAGAGTGCCAAGCACAGGAAATCTCCAACACTAATCAGACTGAAAAAGTGCTTTAAAATTATGAATCGTGTCATGTTAAAAAAAATCTCATCATTTCCTGTGACACTAAGTGACTGAACGCAGTTTTCCAAAAATGCCCTTCTGTCTTGGGTACATAAAGTCACAAGTGAATATTAAAGTGTGCTTTAATTAAATGTGTATTTAAAGTATTGTAATTCAAAGTTTTAATTTACTTTAAAGTTTTGACAGACTTTGAACTTCTTGTATTATAGATACTTAATAACACATGAAAAATGTTTTTATGTAACCCACAATTTTGAGGAAATCTGAGACAGAAGAGATATGTCATAATCATGTTAAAAACTACAAGCACCACTGCCATCTGGTCTTATGTACTTCTACAAACTCAGAGTAACGTCTTTTATATTGAACCAGAATACACAAATAAACATTTGCTTGGATGAAGCTTATTATTGTCAGTACGAAGGAACTTAAATAGTTACATTCTGCAGCAAAACATTCTTGCTTCTGGTAAATAGTTTACCAAAATTTCCTCCAGAGCCCATGATAACAAATGGATCCAGGACTTACCTTTGTAGAATTTCTTCTGCTAATCTAGGGAGACTTCAGCCTTCTGCATTTACAGCCTACTTAAAAAGCCTTCTCAGCTGCTACAGAGCCTCGCACTTTTGTGATATGATGACAGAAAAGCAAATACATTTCCTCCTAACAGAAGCTGCGTCAGCACTAATAGAGCTATATGAAGCTTTCTGTGCTGGATCACAACAAACATTTGAAAAGCACTTTTAGGATGCTTTAGCATGAAAAATGTTTCATGAGAGCAGGTAAAACTTATCTCTATATTTTCTACAGTGAACACATGTAAGAAATAGACTCCAGTATCTTTTTTTGTTTAGAATTACATCTTCAAATGTATGACACTATAAAAATAGCTCACCTATTTTAGTTGCACTGTAAATATTCTCTATAGGAAATACAACCCCTAGTCCGTACAACAAGACTTTTGCCAGAGCTGGAATTAGCTGCGTAGTTGTTACAAGGATGTTCACACAGTTTGTCCTATGGAAGAGAAAATGCAAATGTTCTTTTTTTTTTAAACAAACAAAATGCAACAAGGAAAATCTTACCCTTCCCATCAGAACCCCTCACCAGTATTATTGCCACTTACAAAAAAAGTGGTTTTTTTTCCACCTTACAGGAGATCAAGGTACAGAGTGGCACGGTCAGACCAAAACAAGAAAGGAGAAGAAGGTTCTCCAGGCTCAACATTTCACCCACCAGGACAGGCAGCCTTCTCTAGACAATCAGCAGACATCCTTAAATTTCCTAACTACCTTGTACTCACCTCGAATGAATAAGGGTGAGTGCTTTCAGTGCAAGTGTTAACCACGAATCTGTCAAAGCTTCAATTTCAGCCCGTAGTTGTAACCAAGCCTCTCTTTTTGCTGGACCAAGGAGACCTGTGGAGTAGATAAGGGCATGTCTGCACCAAAATTAAGTAACATTCTGTCATTTTCCTTTGCTTTCATTAGCTCAGAGACAATTTTCCACACACTGCAAACTAAACGTCTCACTAACCACTGCCAAGGTAAAAGAGGAGCAGAAACTGGAAGTTCTTCCCTTTAACTACTTCTAATCTACATTTGCTAGACACTCCAGAGTCACTTGCCTCCAACGTTATTTTTGTAGGTGTTATATATTTCTTTTACTCGTCTGTAGCGGAAAGCCAGTTTCCGCATCCAGTCCACTCCTCCGCGCACCCCCGTCGCCAGGCACAGGTTGGCACTGGTCGCAGCCGCGGGAAAGCCGTCCGTCCCGAAGTTATAGGTGCTGGTCGGAGACAAGAACACCCCCGGTGAACAAAAGGCAACAGGCAAAGTGCGGCCACTAGCTACTCGCTTTGCTGGGTTGCAAAGGCTAAGACAGCTAAAAAGAGAGAGGGCCACTGTAAGCGCTACAGCAGCTCATCGATCTCCCAGGAAGGAGACTCGCAAAGCCACGGTTTATCTCGTTCGAGGTCTCTTGTACCTTAAATCTTGACCGTTGTCATCCGAAGACACGTCGTCGATGTGAACCTGGTCACATTCCTAAGGCAACAGAAAGACACTATCATTTTCTTGATCTTGCAGATCTCAAAAACAAAGTTATTAAAAAAACCCCTATGAACAATTGCCTCATCTGAGATATTTTTAATTGTGGAAATCAGTAGATGGCAGTCTTGCTAAAACAACTATTTTACCTATTCCTTATGTCCGTTTTTCAGAATAAACGCACACCATCATTAGCTACTGCTGTTAAATGGCTTTCCAAACCCACATTTTTTGTTTAGAAAGGAAAGTGGTTAAAAACAATTAGCATATGTATTCCATAAATGTTCTTGTAGCCTTTCAGGTACCTTAAAACATCACGCTGCTCAAAGCTGATTCAGTCAGTGCATAAGTGTAACTGAAACCAGACATTTTGGTAAATGTAACATATTTGAAAAATTAAACCTGATGCTAACCGCCAATGAAATTATGACCCCTGATTGCTGTTGAGCCACACACCAACACAGCCCGAGGCCAGTGTTTCAGAGAAGCACAGACGAAAAATCTGTTCCTAGTTTGCCATTTATTTGAGAACTGTGAGTTTCCTTCTCTCTCTTTGGTCTTAGTGCATGAAAGCAGCATGCAAGTATGAGGAAAAGCTGAACAGAAATAGCCAAATCAAACCATCTTTCTTCACTTGCTTGTATGCAAACTCATGTGGCACACTCACAATGAGCTTTGTCCATCACTAAATTAAAGATCATATTGCATATTGTCTATCCACTAAAAAAAAACCCCAAAACACCAAATCAAACACTTTAGAACATTACTATTAATGATTTAACTTTTGGCAGGAAAACAAATAAACCTCTGGCACTCCAGATCAATCTCAAGTCAATGCTTGAAACAATAATGGATTTCAATTATTTTAATAATTTCCTCTTCTTTCAATGTGAAGTCCTATAACAAATGTGATCTGCTTTAAACATGAAAATATTACAGCCTCTTAGTTTTGTGTTACTGCTTTCCTCTCAACAAATTTTTCTCTCTCCATGGATTTGTGAGGAAAGGAGGGAAGATAGAGGGGAAAGAAACTCAAACCAGCTGTTCTCTAACAGAATTAAAATCATGACCCTCAACCCTTTTTCTAAAACATCTATTTTCCAGCCAACCCTCTACCCAGCAAGCAGCAAGCTCCAAGGAGGAAAAGACTTTGACCCTGTAACCTTCTCCTCCTCTCCTGAGGTCAACAACCTCAGATAAGAAAAAAAGCTGAAGAAGTCTATTTGGCCTCACATGATGGCTGTAGATTCTAGATTTTTAAAAACATAGGTCTACAAAAAATACCTCAGAAACTTTTCAGATGCTTTGAAGAACAAGGTGTGGTCTTTTGCACTTACACACGTACTTATTCTTACTGTAATACACACTCTTCTGTGTTTTACTCATTGGTAGCTTGTGCTAGAGCTACAATGAGCACACAGGAAAGACAATACTACTTTTGCTGATATTTAACCATCATACAGAGAATTTCTTCCTCAGGCAGACAAAATGTATTAGATGTACAGACACAGCTGAAATTACAAGTGTGAACGTATGTTGCAACACTTTGAATGTAGAAAGTGAGAACTGAAATCGCACATTAGAAACAGAAATCATAGTATTGAAGGCAAGTGGGATTTTTGAGTTAAAAACCCAGAAAAGCTGTATAAAACTGGTAGAGTAAAGGAAGAGAAACTGTGTCAAAAAGGCAAGCAAAGTGAAGAAAAGGTCAAAACCAGCAGAAAGTTCAGGTGAAATACTGATTATAAAGGAAATGGATAGTGTCTGATTTTGTCAGGAATAAAAGAAAAAGAGTCAAGTCAGCAAGGGAATGAAGAAAAAAAATGAAGCACAAGAGATACGCGTTATAATTTGGAAAGGATTAAAGACCAATGTGATTGACACTACTTTACACCTAAAGGAAGGTCACAAACAGTGAACAACTGTTTTGATCCTCTTGCGTGGCAGGACACAGCTTTGAGGCTCAGTCTGAGCTTTTGAGGGCCAGGTATATTTTCACACTGTCGAGCTGCCTTGGACCTTGGGCTAATGAGTGATGGGTGTATTTTTCAACCTCTGAACAAGGAAAGGAAAAAAACTCAATTGCTTTTTTAGCAGTAATTTAGGAATACCTCTTCAAAGAAGCCATTACTTGATCTGGTCCAACACCTTGTACTTCTTTTTACCTGCTTGCTTTGTGTGAAGCCTTTTGTTCATGAGCAAAGACTACCAGAGACACTGCCCAGTCCTCTGATCAGGTATAAGCAAGCATCCACACAGTGTACATTTTAAAATAGCAGTTTACTCCATATGCATCATAATCATGGATATGCTAAAATTAAGTTTGCCACTGACCAGCAAATAAAGGATGCACTTTCAACCAGTACACTTTTGCAAAGATACATTTTAATAAAAATACAGATTCATAAAAACCTCAGGTGCTCCCCAGAAAACCATGATGGGACCAAACTTAGAGCTAAACAGCCATTCAGAAACAAACACACACACACAAACTGGTTTGGTTTTTTTTTGTTCGAAGGCTTACCACTTCAAACTTTTACAAAGATATATATATATAACACATTTGTAAGATTTTCATAGGAAATACAGTAATAGTATTGTCCCCCTAATTCCTCTAGTGAAGTGGTATCTGAAGTGAATACAGAAAGTTCCTGTGGAAACACTATAAATACATGTTATTTATGCAGATGTATTTTATTATGATAGAATCAGTTTAGCAGTCAGCTCCAAAGCAGAACATTAAAATGTTAGATTGTCTTTTAAAATAGGCTGAATTGGCAAGTAAGGAGCAAAACATCCTGTGGCTTATGTATAAAGATTATGCAGCAAGCTGTGTTTTGCTCCTAAAGGTGTTGACCTTGCAACTTCAGTATATCCAGTTTGAAATCTTCAAGAAGGATTGACTACAAGTGATGATATATTCGGATGGAAGGTTTGGATTTCAGGCAGACAGGCTGAGATGTAGCTCTGCACTTTAGGATCAATCCTTGAAAAGCAAAATGCACTTAGTATAGTTCAGGGATAGTACTTTCAGAAGGGCAAATTATCTTAGACTTCTAAACCCTGTTCTCACATAGGTCTATCTAAATTGCACCGATTTTAATGAAACCATTGCCAAAGTGCTTAGTGGGCTACTGAAATACACAGAAACTTTTAAAGGCCTTATTTATGGTGCCACATGCATGTTCTGTGTATGACCCAGGGTAGGGCAGGATTCACAAAGTCTGAGGAAGTGATGTTGCTCAGATTTTGATCTCTGCTGCGGATCCTGGACAGTCATGGCCAGCAAACACAGGGCAGGTTAGTCAGAAACCTGGAGCAACTTTTTTTTTTTGTTTGGTTTTCTGTGTGATCAGCACACTAGCCTTTACAGCTGCTGTGGGAAACAGCAGGAGAGCAGGGCTGGGCAGTGGGAGCGGGACTGGCCCTCCTGGCAGCATCCTGGCAGCTGCCCAAGGCAAAACCCCCAGAGCTACATCAAATAAGTGCTGTCTGGAAACTGGAGAGATTTTTTCAGAAGGCTTCATGGAGAATTACATTTTAAGAAAGAACGCGAGGCAAAGCAAAAATTAATCTTCTGCAAAGGGAGAGAGCAAGTCCTCAGTTCAGGAGGGCAGGACAAAAGATCAAAAGCTCTTCTCAAGGGAGGGAAAGGAGACATTTTCTATATACCTTTAAAGTGCAAGTCTGGATGAGCAAGGACACTAGACAGCTGATATAAAACATCAGTAACATGCTCAAAGCATGCTCAAAGATACAACTGGGGGTTGTCTGTGGACTTACCAATTAGCCTAAGGGAAAATGAGAGCATCAGCATATGTAGCTTAGAAAATCTACCTGTAGTAGTTGAAGAAGTTACTGTCCATGCTGTTCTTTGCTGTTGCCTTACACACCCGGCTTGCATGGATCCCTTGTGCTTGTGTGTCTCAGCCCTTTCTGTGCCACAGCTGGTAACTTAGCTTGAAACAGATCTCCTGCCGCAGCTCAATTAAACCAACAGACGTTGCACAGAGTAACTGAAACTTGTTTCTACGTTCCCTTTCACCAGCTGTGCTTTGGAGCTTGAAGCAGCAGCACATACATGCTTGCAGGGGCTCTGTAAAACTGCTACAACCATTTGCTAAGTGAAAATACATCTCCAGTGAAAAGTACTAAGCCAAAGAAAAACAACAATCAAAAATGACTGACTAGGTAAGTCTAGCCTAAGACTTGTACATGGAAAGCTTGTGTCTTCTCCCTCCTCCATTCCCAAAGCATTTGCTAACTCCTTCCTGCTATTTTTTCCTCCTTCTCTTTTCCGTTTTTGTATGACAAGCCAAAAACTCCCAGAGATGCTCCACAGTCATCATTCACAGCTCTTAAAATGCCCAAGCCTATGTAGTCTTCTGGAATCGTTCCTTTAAACTAACTTAGGATCTTTATAAAGATTCATATGCAAAGCAGTAAGATATGGCAGAAATGATCTGCAAATATTTGTATTACTTTGCTCCTTCACTACCACCTGTCAAGTTGTGCACTTCTGCCATAATTATGTAAAATATGCCTCACTGCTCAATTTACTGTAGGAAAATTAATAATAATAATACTAAAAAAGAGAGATTAAGGCTGTTCCAAGAGTTCCTCTTATCTGTGCCAGTACTAATGGAGTGACACAATGGCTAGCGTGTCGATCCTCTATATTTCTTGTGTTACAAAACTAACAAAAATAAATCTAATAATTCTGCTGGTTTTGAATAAACACTGAGCATAAGAAAACTCAGGAGAAGTTTGCACTTTATGAGAGGGAATAACATGAATAACATTATGAACATAACCTTAAAGGATGCTGAAGTCACAAACCTGCTGATCATAGCTAAAATACACTTCGATATTTGGTTAATCTTAATTTACCATGAGAAAACTAACACCATGCTGTCAACTAATTGTTTCGATACCTTAGTCTGCAAAGTCAAATGAGAGAGGGAAAAAAAACCCAACCCCAAAAACCACCCTTCAGG